ACAATTAATTATATATATAACGTGTTATCCATCTTGGAAAAACAAACGCATTGAAAACTCATGAGAATGATGTAGTAGAACATCCTATCACCCCAATTTTCACCAGACCCAGGGCCCCGGACGTCCCAGCATTGTGTATCACGCCTTCAGCCGATCATCGGAAGCACCAGGGGCTGTCGGCCTACGCCCGGGTGGCAATGACCATCAAATGGGCGTGTCAATGGGCGAAAGTGAGATATAACTTGATATAACTGATAAAGGTATATTTAATGGGAGGATATGGGATGTAAGTAATGGAGATGATGGGATTAAAGGTATATTTAATGGGATTAAAGGTAATGAATGTGATGGGATGAATGTGATGATTGGGATGAATATATGGCGATCTCATCGGATTTCATGATAAATTATGGGATTTTGTGGGGATTTGTTTTGTGGGATTCAGTCGGGATTTGTCCGGATCGATTTACTGGGATATCAGGGGTGTCAGTTTACCAACTTGCCCTCCGGGCAGTTTGCAACTGAAACCACCTGTCATGCACCAACTTGCCTGCCAGGTGTATACTGAAACCACCTGTCATGCACCAACTTGCCTGCCAGGTATATGTCCGTGACCACCACCTTTGGGTCAAATGCCCTTTGCCAGGTGGGTGGGTAAAACAACCGTGAGCGATGGCTTCGAAAACAGGCTGACTTCGTGCGCTTGCCTGACTGAACCTTTTGCAGCAACTTCGTGGGTGCTGAACCGCTGATAAAGCTAAATTGGTAGCGGAGCGCCTGTTTGCGTTCCAACCACTGCGCTACTCCAACTACAACCTCTAACCTTCATCATAACCTCCAACCTCACCCTGGATTCCTTCAAGGGGAACTTCCTCTACCTGTTGCTCGAGCTGCACGCTCTTAACGAGCACTATGACAACTTCGAGTTCTGGAAAGACTGGAACTGAGCTGGATACCCAAAGCCTTCGGGACAGTTTCATCCCGACCTTTGATGGTACCACCACTGGGTACCGAGAATGGCGAAAGCGGATAGTGATCTACGCAAAGAAGATGGAGCTTTCGAAAAGAACCCAAGAAGCTGTGTTGAACCTGTTAGGATCACTCCAAGGCACTGCTTGGAGGATCGTCGAAGACTTTGACCTGAACAAGGTGAACGACCCTGAAGCCTTTGAGAATATCCTCAAACAGCTCGATGCAGCCTTCCAGTATGACAACAAAGTTGAGATGCCAGCCGACTTCACGGCCTACTTTGACTCTGCAGGCCGACGTCCCGGCCAATCCTTGCTTCAGTTTGTGACGGAGCATGACGAAAAGCTGAGACGCCTGGAGAAGCACAAGGTTGTCCTTCCTCCTGAAGTTCAAGGTTGGTACTTGCTCAACCGTGCCAATCTCAGCCGAGAACAGAAACAGATGGTGATGACCCAGGCCAACACGCTGAAAAGAACCAAGATCCAAGAGTCGATGTTTGCCATCTTGGGTCAGGACTACAAGAGTGGCCATGGAATTCCCAACTCCCGATGGTCTATGCGATCTTCTGGAAAAGGTCGTGGTTACTGCGCTGATGATGAGACCGTGGAGTCCGTCGCTGATGACTGGGCCGACTGGGATGAAGATGACTATGGGTACTATGAGTATGACGAGGACGACACCAACTGGCAGGACTATGAGTTTGACTATGATGCGGCGTACTACGAAGATGATGCTGGCAACCATGATCCTACGCTGGACTATGAGTTCGACGTCGCCGAGTACGACTCCTGCTATGCCTCATACCTTGATGCCCGGAAGAGATTCAACGACTTGCGAATGGCCCGCGGATTTCTCCCTGTGGTCGCCTTGGACCCTACAGCCTCTTCTTCGGGTGTGTCACCAACTCAGATGCCGCTGCAGTCCAACAAGGGCAAGGGCAAGAAAGGTAAGTCAAAGGGGAAGGGCAAGAACAACTTCAGGCCGCCACGGCCACCTATGAAAACACCTGATCCTCGAGGACGTGCTCAAGCTGCTCTTCACGCCCCGTGTCTGCGTTGTGGATCGTCGTCCCATAAGACGGCCAACTGCACTCAGGGTTCCAAAGCAACTCCAAAGTCAGCACCAGCTGGCAATGCTGCGAAACGCCAATCTGTGGAGAGCATGGCCTTCCAACTTGAAGGCGGCATGGTGATGTTTGAAGATTCCACAGGTGCTGAACGACCTGACTGTGCGATGATGGACCCTGGAGCTTCGTCCTTCCTCATGGGCATGGGACCGTTGATGCGATACCTCGAGCACCTGGGCAAGCTTGGATTTCCGATCAACCAGATCAAGTTCAAGAAGGCAGATCGCACCTTTCACTTTGGCGGCGATCACAAGGCTGTCAGCAACTGGACAGTCCACTTGCCGATCTACCTCAACAACAAGTTTGGTCTGGTCCAAGCCTTTGTACTTCGAGGGGAAACACCCATGTTTCTTGGCCGCCCCATTGCCAAAGCAATGGGACTGACTGTGGACTTCCTCAACGATCGACTGCGATACAATGATGGTGAATGGCGTGCTGCAACTTTGGGCAGACACATGGAATACCTGCTACCTCTGACTGAGGACTACGACCCTTCCATCGACATCAACAACCCTGAGTTTGACTTGGTGCTTGAAGATGAGAAGGGCCCTGACTTTAACTTGGACGAGTTCAAGGAGTCTGAAGAGATCTATGTGACTGAGGATGCAGTCATTCCTGAAGGCTCCAACGTCCTCAAGACCAAGCAGCTGAAGTCCTTAGACACCTCAGTGCTGACCCAACTCAATGCAGCAGAAGCCTACATCTCACAGACCTTGCGCGACATGGACTTTCGTCAACCAAGGCAACTGTGGGAAGTCTACTGTGGCGAGAGCCGTATGACCAAGATTGCCACCTCCCTGGGCATGGATGCGCAGCACTTCGGCCTCAACAATGGTTGGAACTTCTCCTACAAGTCCCACCAGCGCGAGTTCATGAAGCTGCTGGATGAACACCAACCTGAAGAAGTGTTTCTATCGCCCACTTGTGGACCTTGGTCTCCAATGCAGAATATCAATGCCAAGACGCCGCAGCGTCAAGAACAACTTCAACAACTACGAGATTGGCATCACAGAGTTCATCTGCGTTTTTGCAGAAGGATCTACTTGAAGCAGGTCAACGAAGGCCGACATGCACACGTGGAACAACCAACACCTGCTTTGTCATGGCGCACCAGCGCATTGTCAACTTTGCCAGGTCACCGTGCCAAGTTCAGCCAATGCCAGTATGGCGCTATGTGCAAGAACGACAACGAGCAATGGCTGCCAGTCCGAAAGGACACAACTCTTTTGACGACAAAGCTGGCCGTGGCCCAAGCCATGAATCGACAATGCCCTGGAGATCATCAACATTGCCGTCTTGAAGGTTCACTTCGTGGATTTCAAGTGCATCGCACAACCTACATGGAAAACTACCAACCCGCTATGGCATCAACTCTTGCGGCAGCTATGGCAACACCTGAAGCCCCACACAACTGGGAACATGGCTATGCCGTGCAAGAGATCACCGAGCACGTTGGCAAGCTCGTGGAACTCCATGTCGAAGGCAAGTCTGCAGCCCTTCGAGTTGTGCAGAAGCTCCACAGAAACCTTGGACACCCTTCAACGGCATCTTTGGTTGAACTTTTGAGCTCCAGAGGTGCAAGCCCTGATGTTTTACAAGTTGCTGGTTCCTATGTTTGCTCAGCATGTCAGCGCTACAAGAAACCCAATCAAACTGCACCATCTACTTTGGCCAAAAGCGACCACTTTAACCAACGACTTCAAGCTGATGTCTTTTGGATCAAAGATGGTGACAAGAAGTTTGCGGTTCTTTCATGCGTTGACTCTGCCACCAAGTACCAGACTGCAACCTTGGTGCCTGATGAGAAAACCTCCAACTTGATAGCTGGTTTGGAAAGATGCTGGATTGCCCATTTTGGGCCACCTGAAACCCTTGTCACCGATGAAGGCAGGGGATGGCTTTCAGACCCAATGGCTTTGTGGACTGATGAGCACTCGATCCATCATGATGTTGCTCCTGGAGAAGCTCACACCCGACTGAGTCTTGTGGAACGGCGACATGCAGTTCTACGAAAGAGCATTGAGGTCTACATGCAAGATCTACAACTTCATGGAGCTGATGGCATCAGGTCTGCTCTGACCTACATAGTGCCGCAACAAAATGCTCAGCCCACAGTTTCCGGCTACAGCCCTTCACAATGGCTTTTGGGGTATCAACCACAGGTCAATGGACTTTTGACTTCTGACCAGATCACCCCTGTGCACTTAGCCGGAGGCCACTCCTTTGAAGATGCTTTGATGCGTCGCAATGCAGCCAAGTCAGCCCTTCAACAAGCTGACACTGACCATCGACTTCGCCGTGCTCTTCTCAGAAGATATGCCGGCGCCAACATACGACTTGCTGTTGGTCAGACATGTTTTTACTGGCGTGATGCTCAACAAGCAGACCTTGTCAAAATCAGATGGCGAGGACCAGCCAAGGTTCTCATGGTTGAGGATGATGAGCAAGGCAATGCTTCAACCTACTGGATTTGCCACAAGACCCAACTCCTGCGTTGTGCTCCTCACCATTGCCGCCCTGATTTCCGACAGATCTCCAACAACGTGGTGGACAATCTTCTTGAAGCCAAAGAAGTTCTACGACAAGTCAAGTCTCGTGGCGTGACAAGGTTCCTGGACTTGAACCGCTTGAATCGTCAACACATTGACGACATCAATGAAGATGAAGAGAGGCCGATGACTATGTGCCTGAGGCCAAACGTCGTCGACTTGCTGAACTTCAAGATGGAGCTGAAGGTGATGATGACTACGAGCCATCAATTGCCGATGATGGTCCTTGTGATGATGATCAACCTCCTGATGATGGTCATCACCCGTCCCCTGGACTTATGGGACTGCCAGAAGGATCACCTTCGTCCCCTGGACTTTTGGGACAACATGATGGACTTTCTCCGTCCCCTGGACTTATGGGACCACCAGCTCCAATGGCTGATGAACCTCCTCTACCTCCAACGTTGCCAATCAACAACAACGACGAAGTGGAGCCCTCAGCAGAAGTTTTTCCTCCAACACCAGCAGCTGGTCAAGCTTTAGACCCTGCAACTGCTGAGAGATTTCAAGTTCCACAACAAGAGACTTTTGAGCAACGACGAGCACGAGTTGACCGCCAAGAAACTTTGTCTTTTGGACCCCGCAGGTCACAACTTCAAAGCTCACATGGAGCTACACCATATGATCGTCCTGCACGTGGCGATGATGATGCTGCTGCCAACATGGCTTTCAATGTGGAGGACGTGGAACAAGAGTCACTGCCTGGTGACTGGTGCTTCAAGCCTGAGACTGGCTACTTTGAGCTGCGTGAAGGTGCCCGAGTACGTGATTTCTGGGAGCTGAAAGCTGGATGCCTCCTACGACATCACTGCCACCAACGGCGCACTCTTTTCGACCCTGCTGGCAGCTCAGACATACCAGTTCCACTTGACAAACTTGACAATGTCAGGGTCACCATTCACTTTGACCGTGACGGCAGTGCCAAGACCTTCACTGATGATTTCAGAAATCCTCAGCATCATGACAAGGACCTGCGACAGCATCAACTGCCATCTACATGGAAGGGCATCACAGTTTTTCAAATCAATGCTGAAACCAGAAAAGAGCTCAACATGTTTTCCAGCGACAGCAACCTCAGCTACCACGTTCAGAATGCAAAGAAGGTCGCCCAAGGCCTCAAGAACCAACATCAACGACAACAACGTCGAGATGTCACTAAAATGGCCAAGAACAAAGGCGAAGTGGTGGAAAAGTACTTGAACCAAACTGAAAGAGAAATGTTCCACCAAGCGAAGGTGAAAGAACTTCGCAGCTTTTTTGAATGTGGCGTTTGGGAGTTTAGCACTGCAGAAGAAGCCACACCAGAGAGAACACTTACAAGCAGGATTCTTTTGAAATGGAGTCGCAATGCTGATGGTAGCCCTCGTGCAAAAGCACGACTTGTTGTGCGTGGTTTCAATGATGTGGACGCGCTCATGGGCAACCTAGAAACAGCGTCACCAACCACCAGCCGACTTTCAAGATCCCTGCTGCTCTCTGTTTCCGCCAACTTGCGATGGCGAGCTTGGTCTGCAGATGTTAGCACTGCCTTCCTTCAAGGCCTACCTCAAGAACGAAAACTATGGCTGAAGCTTCCCAACGAAGCCTTGCAGATCCTTGGAGCCACTGCCAACACAAGGATGTTTTTTACGAAAGCCAGTTTATGGCCAACTTGATGCTCCTAGGAGATGGTTTTTGGAAGCAGTCCGCCGACTGAAAAGCCTTGGTTGGCAACAACATGCGCTTGACCCGTGCTGTTTTTGTTTGTACGACTTCAAGAAGGAGTCAAGCCCAACGCTTGTGGGGATGCTGTGTCTTCACGTTGATGACATGCTTGCTGCCGGAGACCCAAACTCCAAAACCTATGTGGATGCCGAAACTGCCCTGAAGAAAGCCTTTGACTTCAGGACCTTCGAGACTGATGAGAAGACCCTGGAGTACTGTGGCGTGAAACTTGAAAGGCATGACCACTGCTGGAAGGTCAATCAACATGACTACATCCAGAAGGTCAAGCCCGTGACCATACACAAAGGCCGTACGGCCGAAGATGAGATGAACGACCATGACAGGTCACAACTTCGAGCTCTTCTTGGCTCACTGCAATGGCCTGCCGTTCAGACTGCACCGCACTTACAGTGTTCTGCAAGCCTGATCAGTGGCCAGCAGAAAACAGGTAAACTACGTGCGGTGATTGAAGCCAACCAACTGCTGCGCTTTGCAAAACAAAATAGCGATGTCAAGCTCAACTATGAACCCCTGGACATTGACTCACTTGCCGACTTAAGGCTCTGTGCAATGTTTGATGCTGCCCATGGAGTCCGAGAAGATGCCACGTCTCAGGGTGGCTACCTGATCTTCGTCGTGCCCAAGAAGATCTTTGAAAAGGAGACATCCTACCACTTGATAGAGTGGCGCAGCTTCAAACTCCCCAGAGTGGCAAGGTCAAGTCTGAGTGCTGAAGCTCAAGCTTTTGGCCAAACAGCGGACATGGTAGAGTTCATATGTCGATATTGGACTTGCCTCTTCAACCCTCCTTCAAAGCTGAAAGAATGCCTGGACCAACGATCTGACCTCGAGCCCGTCATGATCACCGATGCAAAAGCTCTCTATGACAGCTACAACAAAGAAGGTTTGACTGGCTCTTCGTCCGTTGACAAAAGGACGTCTCTGGAGATACGAGTTGGAAAAGAACAACTACAAGCTTTGGGTGGTGTTTTGAAATGGATGAGCAGCGAAAAGCAGTTCGCTGTGATGGTTTGACAAAGAGTTCTACCAGAACTTTGCTGGCTGACCGACTTCGACATCATCGACAGAAGCTGGTGTGGGACCCATACTACACTAGCGCGAAACGCAAAGATGCTGCAGAAAGAGAAGCAAGCCGCAATGAGTTTGCGAAAGGGAAGGAATCCAATCAACATCAACCTCACTCTCAACCTCTCACTTCACCTTCACCTACAACACAACCTCAACATGGACGCATGGATGATGGAAACTATGAGCTGCAGATCCCTGAGGACCCTGCCGAGCTCTACGTGACTGATAATGAGAACATGGATGAAGAGACCTACGAACCTGCGTATGACGACATCCATGTCGAGCCCTATGAGCCTGTCGAGGCCTACGTAGCAACCCCAAAGAATGCCAAGGTGATAAAGTATGTCATCGCGGCGCTGACCTGGTTGCCTACGACCTCTGCAATGCATGCAGCTCCGGACCATGAACATGGACAGAGCGGAATTTGGATTTTCGCCATTTTGGCGATGATGCTCCTTTGCCTCCTCCTTGGACTTTGGCTTGGTGCTCGATACGAGCGACTGCGCCTGCAACAGGCAATGGACCTTGCCTATGCCCACGTGGACCAACTCCAACGAGAAGGTGCAGAACAGGCGGATTTGATTCGCCGACTTCGGTGTCAATGCTATGATGTGGCTGGCCGCCGCAACGAGATCGCGAATGAACTGGAAGAAACAAGATGCAACGCCAACGTGATGGCGATTATGCTGGCCTCTCAAATCGAAGCAATTCGGTTTCTACAAGCAAGAACCGATAGACTTCGAAGCCTGATAGCCAACCACCAAGCTCCGTGCCCGCTTGGCGACACAGTCCTTGTGCAGCCGACACTGGACGGCTCACTGTGGCACATCGACCCTGAGTGCCCCATCATCGAGCTAAACCGAGCTCACATGGTGCAAGAGCACGACCATTGTGAGTACTGCTGTGCGAGAGACCGAAACATGGTGACAGACCGAGCTTTCACTGGACGATGATGCCGAAGATTCTGTGAGAGAGCAATTTTTCTTTTCACCTGACAC